GACATCCATTACTAAGAATGTAAAGTGTTTGTGTAATGAAGGATCTTAACTGTCATTATGGATGCCTATATGGGAAAGTACAGGAGCAAAGTGAAGAATATCACAAAATATGCCTCGCTTTGCTCCTATCTCTAATTTCACCAGAGTTTACATAATGATAGTAATAATAATTATTATAGAAATAACAGCAGCCTTCAGACACTTAATAGTTACTATGTGTCATTCTTTGTTCAGAATACCTTAATTTTTATTTCCTCATTTAATCATCAGAATAGTCTGAGGTATGACCATATTATTTTACAAATAAAAAAAAGTAAGTTTAAGTGAATACATTAGCCCAAGATGATTCATTTCAGGTAAAATACTTTGAATTCCCTAACATAGTGACCATGAGAGAGATTCACCTCCTGGATGTTAGGGAAGTTATTTTTTTCTGTGTCTCTTTCCTGCTTGAAAAAGAACAATTCTGCCCACTTAATGTTTGTAAATTTCAGATTACATTTTTTAGTTATTTTTATTTTATTTATTTTGTTATTTGTCTTGTACAGGGTCTCACTACGCAGCTTGGACTCGTAATGATCCTCCTGTTTTTAGTCTCCCCAGCACTAGGATGACAGTCACCGCCACCATACCCAGACTCAATGGCCAGCTCAGCATGGCCTAGGGCGGGGCCAGCACAGCATGCCGTACAGGGGATGGAACCCCAGTCCCTGCGCTTGCCTAAGCAGGCTCTTAGTCTGCTGAGCTATCTCACCAGCTCTAATTATTTTTTATTTTTAATTCACAAAATTATACATATTTGGTAGGCAAACTGATGTTTTTGAAATATATATGCATTGTAGAATGGTTAAATTGAGCTAATTGGTGACTATAATTATTTTTGTATTTTTGTGATGAGAATACTTAAAATCTACACTTTAGATAATTTTCAAGTATACAAGAGATTGTTATTAAGTATAGTTGTAATGTGTACAACTGTAGATGTTGTGCAGTAGATTTCTTAATTTTATTCCTTTTGTATCCTTTCACCAATAGTTCTTTGCCACTGTCCGTCTAACCCAGTCCTAATAATAACAGCTCTACCATTTTCTTTTTTAACTAACAAAGGGCTGTTAGTTAATACAGCCCTCCTTTTACTCTTTCATTCTTATCCACGTTTCATGCTTTCTACACAGTGAGATCCCTCACAGCTCGGAAAGCAGATTTGGAAATATGTTGAATAGTTCCCCTTGAGTTACAGATGACAACATCAACCTGGATCTGTCATTGGAGACTGATGTGTATGTTTTAGGGAATAAATGATTTGTATTTGAAAGAAATCACTCAGTTGAAAGTGATGGGGACCCCTCTACCACTGCTGCTTGGGCTTTCATATTTTAGAGTGACTAAAGACAAATGCGGAACTAGCAAAAAGGAAAATAAGGGTGATTTAAAGACTTCTGTCACTGTATTTAGGAATAGGTTGATTAGTAAAGATTTTGTTCAAGACTTCTCAGCAAGTGTTTTCTGAAATCCTTTGAAGAAAATACTTAAGTATTCTGATAATTTCTATAATATTAAAAACAATAAAAAGGTTTTAATACATTTGCTTATTAACAAACTAGTAATAGAAGTTTTGTGATAAGAGACTGACAGAAACAGGATGCACCTGGATGGTGTCTTTTTCTGTAGAAGTTAGATACAATCAAAAGGCCTAAGCATGGTAGGATGTAATACCTGGAGATATTCAAATTATGGGCGAGGTTAACTATCTGCTTTTATTTGTCCATTTTTTCCATTCACCTTTTCCTTAAAGATTCATGATAAAGTATTTGCTTCTTTTTCCTTAAAGGTAACATCAATTAAGAAGTCTTGCCTTTCAGTTTTTTCCTCTCTCTCCTTCTCTCTTCTTCTCTCTCCCTCTCTCTCTCCCTCTCACTTCCTCTCTCATCCTCTCTCTCCATCTCTCTCTTTTCCTCTCTCTCCCTCTCTTTCTTACTGCCTCTGTCTCTCTCTCTCTCTTACTGCCTCTCTCTCTCTCTCTCTCTCTCTCTCTCTCTCTCTCTCTCTCTCTGTCTGTCTGTCTCTGTCTCTCTCTCTCTCGATTTCAGGGCTCCACAAAGGTAAGTTTTCATTTTCTTTCTTGATTTTCTTAGGTTCTTTGTTCATTGTGATACTTTTATATGTATACCATTATTCTGCCTCCTTGCCCTTCTGCCACAAACACACATTCACCCATACACATACCAGAGATAAAGGCAATATTTAACTGGTGATATAGAAGATTTTTCTTCAAAACGTTGATGTATTAAGTAAAGTGTTAGGTTAAGCAACCTTAGGCATAATGCACCAGAGTTTAAATGTGATGTAATTAGAAGGCAATTCATGAAATATAGTCTTTGTATGTGTAAGGTAACTTAAAACTTTCCCAGTTTAATTTAATTTTCATCCAGTAGCTAGTACATTCACAGATTTTAGCAATCAGATGATTATGAAAGTTATAATGTAATTGGGAATCTCATTTCCACTCCTCCTTCAGTCTTCAGACATAACCATGCCTCCGTGCAGGTATTTCCTAGTGTTTTGCAAGCGTTTCTTTGTTATCTTTATGCTAAAATAAACAAAATAGGATATGTAATTTTTTGTAGGATATATAATTCTTATAAAGAAATTTTATAGTAAGTTTTACTAATTTACAATTTCCCAGAAGTGGTATTCCTGGATCTAAAGAAAATGCATTAATAATTTTGAGTGATAGTTTTAACTTGCCTTTCATAAGAGTTGTACTATTTTTTACTCCCATCAATAATATATAAGAATACCTCTTTTCTCATATTTATGCTGTCAGAGTATGTTTTCAAACTTTTGGAATTTGGCCAGTTGTATGGATGGATTTGTATGCTTTGCATTTTTCTTATTATGAGTGAATTCCAGAATTTGTTTCTTATATTTAATAACTACTTCTTTTGCTGTAAATTCTCTTTTCATGTTCTTTAATCACTTTCCTACTGGTTCCATCTATGGTATAAGTTGGAGAAAAAAAAATCTCAGCTATTCATCTTCTGTCTTTATTTTATTTTGTTTTGTTTTTTCACTTTGTTTTGCTCATCCTATTTTTTGAGAAAACTTTAAAGGTAGCACTTGTTTATATAGCATTGTGGAAATGTAAAAGTCTTCATGCAATCTAAAGCCATGCAAAACAATCTTAATTAACAATCACAGTTGTTTCATGACTTTTAATAATTTTCATTAAAAATGTTTCATTGTTGTTGTTGGTCCTGGTGGTGGTGTTTTCTTTTTTTAATTTGGTTGGTTTTTAGAGACAAGGTTTCTGTAAGGTCAGGCTGGCCTCAAACACACTGTGATCCTGTCTCAACCTATTGAGTGCTGGAGAGGTGGGCACCACCACACCCAACAGTATTAAAGACCCTTACTGCCATTAATAAATGTATATGGAAATGAAAAATAAGAAATTAGTATCTATTTAATATGTTTTAACATTAGAAACAGAATTGAAGTGTTTAGCTTCTTTTTAAGTATCTTATAAAGAGTAGTTTGTAAAGTACTTGCTGCCTTCATCTTGTATACTTTGTTACACCTTAAGCATCTCTCTGTGACTCAGCCAACTGTCATATTTCTTCTATATTTGGATCAGCTGCCATTATTGTATGCTTTGTTTTTTTTCATTACCTGTAATAGTCCTTTAAATATGAAGCCTTTTGTTGGCGTCTTTTCCTCTGACATCCCATCCCTTTTCATCTTCTTTCTCCCTTTGTCACAGCTGTTGTCTTTACTTGTATTGAGAAATCTGCCTTTTCTGTGCCTACATATATCTTTTAAATGGCAAATGTGTCAAACGTCTCACCATCACCATTTCTTCTAAACTATATTCAGATCAGATTTCACATACTGTCATCACTTTTAGTTTTCTTGCTCTATTTTAACTTTGTTGGCTAATTCCCTCTTTTGCTTATAGTTCTTAATAAAATGTCATGTGGGCTTATCACTGGGAGACGAGGTAATAACACAACTATACACATTGTTGTATGAATATGAAAAGAATAACTGATGTATAGTGGTTAGTTACCAATAAACTTGGAAAAAGGGATGTGGTTTGTCAAAACACGATGCACATAAGTTATTCACATAGAGAATTCTGGAGAGCTATCACTATATTTGGTACTTTATGCATTTACTTATAATTAATAAACTTAACTCAGTTATGATACAGTGAAATTTAAACCATGTTGTAGGGGACAGAAACTGATTTATATAACTAGACTGTAGTAAGTTACACTTGTGCATATCACACCACAAAAAGTAGGACCTACCTCTAGGTTGAATGAGAAAATGAGAAAAAGAGAGATAGAAAAAGAAATTTTAAATTCATGATACATGTGTATCATAAGTACTAAACACAAACCAGAACTGTACAAAGAGTAATGTAAAGACTTATGTAGTAATCTTTGAGATTTGACAGTTACTAACATTGTGATGTATATTTTGTTTTAATAAAAGAAATAAAACATTACAAATGAAGATGACATTCTCCTTTGTCTTTTAGCTCCTATTCATTCTTTCTTAACCTCAAAACACAATGTAGCATGAATTTAAATTTTCTTTTTTATCTCTCTTTTACTCATTTTCTCACTCAACATATGTATACTATGAAGGTTTCAGTTAATATGTACTCTTTGTGTATATGCTTTTTAATTTGCACCATACTTTTGGGTTTTTTATCATATACTTTTCCTTTCCCTCTTTCTTGAATTAATAAAAACCTTGTCTCTCCTTTTCCAACAGTTTAGAGGTCATGTTTTTGTATTAAACTTTATTTATACTTAATAAAGAAATAAGTTATTTTTTAAAGAAAATCTAAAGTCCAGTATAGATGAGTACTAGAGTAATGATCCGTTCTCACCTTAGGAACCAAAGCCCACAGATGCCCCAAGCTATGCTGTCATAGTTCTGAACTGTGTTCTCATATGCTTAACAAACTTGTTGCTTTGTTTGTCTTCCAGGTTTATTCAAGAGATTGAGCAGGCCTTGGGCCTTGGTCCCACCAAGCAGTGTCCTCTTCGAGAGTTTCTCACTGTGTACATCAAAAACATCTTCCTCAATCAGGTCTTGGCCGAGATCAACAAGGAAATTGAAGGAGTCACTAAAACATCTGACCCCCTGAAGATCCTAGCTAATGCAGACACCATGAAAGTACTGGGGGTGCAGCGGCCTCTCCTGCAGGTAACAATACACTGGAACTTACTGTTTTTCTTGGCTCTTTTTATTGACTTGACAAGAGTCATAAATTAAAAAAGAAGAATTACCATCTGTTTCCCTGTTCATCAGAGACAAAACAAGAGGAAATAAATTAAACAGGCACTAGGGAAATTTAGGTCTAATATAATTGGATAATGGAAGTTCCTTAAGCTCTTTAAGAAAACAGTGGTTAACTTTGAATGTGGGAGATGGTGAGTCTCATTAGCATGTGGCAACTCTTCAGTATTAGCCTACAATTTGTCCTTGAAAGACATTGTGTTTTCCATTGGTAAATGCATCCCAGAATATTAGAGGTTAGTGGAAAGGAAATGGGTTACTCCTCCTGACCTCAATTACCAGCAGGAAACACTATCATTTGAGGCCAGGCTTACTGTAAATAACTTGAATAGCTTACAGTGAATTTGAATCTGGCTTTTCAACATCAGCTCATTTAATTCAAATGATGATCTTAACATTGAAAGTCTTACTTTGACTACCTAAAGAAAAGTCTTCTAGGTGATGGAAATAAAAAAAAGTTTGTAGATATTTTTATTTGTGGGCTTGAGGTATACATTTTATACATATGTTAATTTGAAGATAAATATAAATCTAAAAGAAGATTAGCTGAGTTCAATTTATGGGTAGAAGGGCCGGAGAAATGGTTCAGTGGAATAAGGGCTTCCCTGGCAAGCGCAAGGACCTGAGTTCGATCCCCCAGTTCCACCAAAAAAAAGAAAGAAAGAAAGTGACTGAGTACGATTTATGGGTAGACACAGACTATTATTACACTATAATCTTGATAGCTTCTCTTTATTTAAAGGAGAAATTAGTACAAAATGTATTTTTTTTCCTTAAGTTGTACAATATGAGAACACTCAAAGCACAAAAGGCTTGATCTCTGCAGAAGAAGCTGCATAAATGAGAATTATAATATGTGTTTCAGTTACCTGCCTATGTATGTGTCTTTCTGATTTTTACCACGTGTACTTTACATGTCACAGCAGTGCTGGACCTTTCTTGGAGAAGTATCTTAACTATGAGCATCTTTTTATTAACAAACTCTTATTTTGAGAAAATTGAACAGAGACATCACACCTGGGACTGTCTGGGTCACAGTTAGATCTGTTCTTATCAATGGATCTATGAGGCTTGGGCTACAGAGAAGAAGAAATGCAAAGACACATGTTCTGTCCTCCTGCTGAATTGCTCCTCCAGTGACTTGTATGGCTCAGATCTTCTCTGTGAATTTTAGTTGAAGTGTCTCCACTGGGAGATTTTTCCTGACTTTTCTACCTAAGTATCATTCCTCCCTATGTATTTTCAGTATTGAAGCTAAATCCTGTGGACCATAACATCAAGGCTATATTTCCAGGTAGCTTCCAATCAGGTTCTAAAAACCAGGAAGCCTGAGCAGCAGATTGTTAGGTTAGAAGACAGTTGGAATAATGTCTTTTCTACTTCCCTTCCTAATTTTATCACAATTCTGACGATTGACACTTGCCTCTGTAATCAGAAGTCCTGCCACATGCACTTTCTCTCCATAGCTCCAACTCTTACTGGGCTCAGGCAGCACCATTTCTTCCCTTTGCCCCTTAATTCCTGCTTTCTGCTGCTTCTAGTCTCTGGGTGCCCAACACCCCTTGTTTTCTGCTTTCAACTCTGCAGGAGAATCCAAAAGAGATCTCCTTCATTTAACACTATTTTTTAACACTTTGGTTTTTAGAATTTATTTTTAATGTTTTATGTTATTAATGATTGGACTCAGGGCTTTAACCTACTAAGCAAGCACTACTATACCACTGAGCTGTAGTCATAGCCTTAACATTTTTCTCCTTAACATGTATGACTTTAGTAATTAATTTTTCTAACTTGTTTGTTTTCTATCTTTCTCCATTGGAAGAAGGCAGTTGCCAAAAGCATAGAATAGTGTCAGGCAGTAGGAAGGTGCACAATAAATAATTTGTTGAATGAGTGTGGATGCCAGGCTTGTGTCAGTAGTGCATGAAAGGGAAAAAGAAAGGCAGCAGTGCACTAGTATGAATCTGTGAATTAAAAATTATATCTTACTAAACATGGTCATTTTCAGCTTGAGTGGTAAAGACACATTAAAACTCTTTAAATAGCTGACTATAATCCAGGCCATGCCAGGACTTACATGTCCCATCTTAGTGTCATCTCTAGGCAATCTAGTGATGTGTCTGACAGATCACTCCCAATCTCTTTACCAAGTAACTGTCCCTCTTGTCCTTTAAGTCAGTTATTCTGATGTTAAGTAAGGACTCCAGCTTTACCTGTTCTCTTCTGAACTTCATCAAGATATAATTATATATAAGTAAATAAATCTTGAGATTAAGGCGATCTGAACTATTAACTTCCAAATTCATTATAAGAACTAAAATACTGTTATTTTGGTTAATTTATTGTGCTCTCTTTTCTGATCAAAATTTTATTTAATGAAAATGTAGGTGTTAAGGGTACAGAAAATAAATTTGCTTAATATTCTCAAAGTTATAAAGTTTAAGAAGCAAATGAAGAGATACTTTCCTTTCTCCTGAGAGATAATCTTTCTTTTATAGTGAGCATAGATTGTCTTCTAACATTATTTCTGTTGTTCAAGTTTCAGTGTTTCCCAGATGTATTTCACATTCCTTTGGTAATTTTATTCCCAGCCAATTGAATACAGCTAGTCTGAAGGAAAAATAAGAAATAATCCCTTTAAAAATATAGTTGAGAATGCAAAATAAATGTTAAGAAGTAGTATTTCTGTATGTGAAAGATGTGGGGAGGGTTAGTGTTCAATTATGTGAAGCATAAAGATTTCCTTTACAGTTATTCTTTCTGCTAGACTGTTTGGTCACAGCAGGGAGGACATGCCTTTCCCCCAAGGTAGCACCCAGTGTCATTTGGTATCAGCCCAGCCATATTCTCTAGGGAAGTGAAGGGACACCTGTCTTAGTGCTGCTTTCATTTGTTTGCTGATGGACAGATGCAGTGATGGGAGCTCTGTGAAGAAAATGAAAGGATACTTTGTTCTTGCCCATCTGAAATGACATGTAAAGGTTAAAGGCACATGTTGTGAGGGGCAGTTCTGTGGGTGCTAAGGTGTATTTGCATCGGTGATTTCACTTTCTATTAAAGAGTCCACAGAAAGGAAGAGGAACTCAGAGTACAAGCACCATTTTATAGGTACAACAACTGTCCAAACATTGGCCCAAAATATTAAAGCAGGTAGTACAAGTAGTAGTAATAGCAGTCATTATGGTAGGTAATAGTAGTGATCCCAGCCAACATTTTGGTAACATTTAGTATGTTTTAGCTGCACAGTGTTCTGAGTGCTTTATATGTATTGACTTCTAAGGGCTTTGGTTGTATGACAGGAATTTCTGTGAGGGTCTTATTATGGTAAGGAAACTTATAAACAGTGAAATTAAATAACTTGCCCACAGTAGTATATCTACCAAAAGTAGATACACACCCAGGCAACCTAACCCAGGAGTCTGTGCTCTAAACCAGTTCAACTCACATCACAGCCTGAGGATGATGCTTTTCTTCCAGTTCTGTGTTACCAGTATCCTATCCATGAAGAATTTGAGACTGAGCATTTAGACTTTTTATTGTCCAATTAGGATTTTGACATTATCTCTTGAGTCTAAAAAAAAAAAAAAAGAAAGCAATTGGGACCAGGCAGATAGCTCAGTAGAATAAGCACTTGCCTGGCAATCACAGGGTCCTGAGTTCAATCTCTGCTACTGCAAAAAAAAAAAAAAAGAAAAGAAAGAAAAAAATTAATACTTGTAGAAGACACTTCCAGGTCCTCATCTTGATCCAAGAAGCCAATATTTGTAATCCCAAAGATACGTTATTGGAATCACATTAAGTTGATTTTAATCTACCACTTACAATGCAACCCACAGCGAAAATAAAGACACTAAATTATATTTTCAATCATCGGGGAGTCAAGGGGCTCTAAGTCCAGCAACAAAGATGGTTTTCTGGAACCAAGAGCATGATCCAGGGGCTCACCCAGTTTTATTCAGTGGAGGAGTGGCTTGAGGAGGATTGACTGAGAATTGTGGGAAGTAGGTGAGCATTGTGGGCTGAGGTAGGTGGGTAGCCTAAATTTACCTCTGCCGATATGCAGAGAGAGTAATCTGCATTATATAATATCTAATGTTTTGGTAAGTCTGGTGCTTCAGCTTTGATGTAGTCTTGCAAGCCCCAGGAAGTTATAGCCTCTATCTTGAGACTGATCCCAGCTGGCGGCACGGAGCATTAGCTCTACTGTCCTGTCTCGACCCAGCTCACATTAAAGAGCTGCAGGTGTAGGTTTCCAGGGAAACATGCATGCCACCCTCGAAGACTATCACCAGCACCTCAGCTAGACCAATACACATTGCTTAAGGCCAATTGAAGGATAAACAGAAGTCCTAGCCAGCTCTGTTCAGAACAATATGAGGAAATAGGGTCAGACTCGGTCAAAATGGAGACAGTCATTCTTCTTTCAAGGAGAGCTGCTCAGGTGGTCCTCCACAGGTACTTACATGTAATACACTGTTGTGGGTTTTAAGTGTCTTTTTTCTAATAACTCACTGTATTTTATAGAAATGTCTGTCAGCAACAGATTAGGCTAACAAAACGGCTTTCACCATTAATAGAGAAGCCCTGCTCTAAACCTTAGTCCTCATACTGCCTCACAGAGAAGTAAAGCAGAGAACCATTTTGGGCTTTTGCTTCAGCATGTAACATACTTTACAACAGATAGAAAAGCTTAGACATTTGACAATGATTCTGTCCTAAATCTCCGGTTCCTAGAGTATTCCCAGAAAAGCTAGAATATCGAATTTAATCAGTGAATGAGTGAATGAATGGATACAATAAATAAATGACTGGTGGCTTCCTTAGTATGAGAGAGAACGAGAGTGTATGTGTGTGTGTGTGTGTGTGTGTGTGTGTGTGTGTGTTCCATGGTATAAAATGTGTAATCT